TGAGATCCCACCAGTGCTTGCTCACACTCCAGTGTTTGCTAATTGGTTCATTACTCGTCTTTACGTCCCCCTGGAACAACAGGAGTCCTAGTTTATATTGCTGTACAGTTACAAAGTCTTGTCTAGAGAAACAAACAGTCTTTCGTGTTGACACCCTCCAGCGAGCTAAAGGTTGTATTTTTAATGTGAAAGGTTTTCACACGCTGTTTCCAAACTGAGCACTTAAATCACAAATGGCGTAAAGTATCATGATTACTACTCAACTGAACTAACCATTTGACAGAGACTGACAAAACATCCATAATGTGGCAGTGCTTTCTCATTTACTGAGCCAAAAAGATCCATGGGAAATCCCCTAAAAGAATATAAAATATATATTATAAATAAACAAAATATATAAAATAAATATATTTTAAAATATATATAAATAATTATTTGTGTGTGTGTGTATATATATATATATATATATATATATAATGTATATAATGTATTGTATAAAATAAATCAAATATATAAATATATATTAATGTTATAGTTATATATTTTATCATCAATAATGACATACTATACACACATTATATAATTATTAATAATTACATTAAAGAATATTATACAAATATATTTAAAAAATATAATTATGTAATTTTGTTGTATTTCTATATATTCTATATATTTCTATTTTATTACCCTATTATTTCTATATATTATATATTTATTTCTATACTGTATATACACTCATGTGCGCACATTCTTTTTTTTTTGTTTTTGAGAAGTTTATTATTCCAAAATGATCCAGGTGGAACCAATTTGGGGTCCAGATTTGGACCTTGATACATTATTTCCCTTAAAACAGGCCGATGTTTACTGAACACAATAAATCAATAAATAAAACTTTAAATAACATGTGTTTGAAATGCCGAAAATATCTTTCAAGAGCCGAGAAGTCAATCTGTGCAGCAGTGCGGTTCTGAATGCAGATATTATTCTATAATTATGCCACCTAGAGTCTAAATAAGGGATGAACAGATAATACAAGCCAGTTTAACTGTGTTTGCCCAATTAAAGTTTTCCAAACATATAACGAAGCCACATCAAAGTTTAATTCCTTTATTCAAGGTTTATTTGTAGCTGAAAGCACTTCATTTGTATGTGGTGTTAACATTAGCTGACATTGATACCATTCACAAGGCATGACAAATGATTGCATGATACATGGCAAGACACGGTGAGCCCTTCTGTGTGTGAAGCTAGTTTTCCACAATCTGTTCATATTAATAAGTCATGCTCTAAAATGCCAGAGGTGTCTTTGACTGCTTTTTTTAACCCAAAGGGCAGTTTGTATTTAGTTACAAATTCTAGCATCGGTCTGCATTTATCCATACACGCTGATCATCTCCAGTAGCTCTTGGATCTTTTTGGAACTCTAGATTTATTTCTGCTCGTGAGTATAAATCTATCATTACTTCAGGGTGTGTTACCATTAAAGGGATAGTTCACCCAAAAATGAAAATTCTATCATCATTTACTCACCCTCAAGTAGTTCCAAACCAGTATACATTTCTTTGTTCTGCCCAACAGAAAGAGAGATATTTTGAAGAAAGTTTGTAACCAGGCTGTTTTGGGGCACCATTGACTTCCATAGTAGGAGAAAAAAATACTATGGAAGTCAATGGTGCCCCAGAACTGCTCTGTTTCCCACATTCTTCAGAATATCTTCCTTTGTGTTCTGCAGAACAAAGACATTCATACAGGTTTGAAATTACTTGAGGGTGAGTAAATGATGACAGAATTTTCATTTTTGGGTGAACTATCCCTTTAAGTAACCTGTAAGTTGAGTACACATGCATTAATAAAATACATCATTCATTGCAAAGTCAACATGTGGCTTGGGCTTTGCACATAAAGCTCCTGAGACCCAGAATGGCTGAGATGCTTTGTGCACACCATTAGGCATGGGCCGATTACCGGTTTCAAGGTATACCGTGATTTGAAAATGTTCACGGTTTCAAAACCGCTAATATTTTCCGTTATACCGTTCCTGCGGTATGCGCTGTTGTTCATGTCTTCTCAAAGACTGAAAGTGTAAGAATCCCTCAGGTTGAGTGCAGTGTAGAGAGTAACACGACCCTCCTCCTCCTGTTAGTGCGAGCAAGCAGTCAGTCACGTGTGTGTAGGACGGCCGAACTTAAGGAGCTTCCCCTAGAACTTACGCGATTGGCAACCGGCCGTTTTTTGTCTTATTGCAACTCGTCTCTGTTCTGAACTTGCACAAACTTGCAATGCAATCGTTTTCCAATGTCATTTATGTGAAAATATGAAGTCTGTAAACGCCCGTTATCACAGGCCAGAGATGCTGAAGACGTGATACCGTGAAACCGTGATATTTTTGCTTAAGGTTATCATACCGTCAAAATCTCATACAATAATCTACACCCCATCCATATTAAAATCTGAGCTTGATTTATATATTCACTAAGCTCCACTATGGGACTTGGACCGAGTTCTAATCAAACGCATGTGGACTTCTGTATTTCCTCGAAACCCCAGAGTGTTCATTCACTGACTGGATCATGGCTCTCTGCTTTACTGCTTTTGTTCTCTGCAGCAACTAGCGCTCATAATTACAAACCCAACAGAGAGAAAACTAACAAAAGGAGAAATTTAATAATGGAGGCGGCACTTTACATATTCATCTCATATTTGCCTTGGGAACTGGGGAGATTTGTGTGGGGGTGCGAGCACTCAAACTTTCTTCAGGCGATGCACAAAGAGATCATTTGAGATTCCCGTTGTTATCTGAGCTTTTCATCAGCTTTTTACTCGATATACATATGGTGTAATGTAGAATATGGCAGTTGATGGTGTAGTGAAGACAGTTAGATGGTTGCACTCTTGTATTTACTGATAATAATTACCAGCAGGAAAAAATTGAGAAGCGGCAGTGAGATACTGCCTAAACTTCATAAAAGTTGTGAAAAACAACTGGGTCAATGGCTAACACTGTAAAAGTGCCCAAGATGAAGAAAAAGGAAAATCCAATATAAAATGCATGTGCCAAACTCTTAGAAATGTAATCTCTATATCTAGGTTGATTTCATGGTTTTAGAAAACTTGTTATGAGATGACACAATTTACAACAAAAGTTTATTATAAACTTCAATATATATACAGGTGCATCTCAATAAATTAGAATGTTGTGGAAAAGTTCATTTATTTCAGTAATTCAACTCAAATTGTTAAACTCGTGTATTAAATAAAATCAATGCACACTCAACAAATTAGAATACTTCAGAAGACCAATAAAAAAAACATTTTTAGTGAATTGTTGGCCTTCTGGAAAGTATGTTCATTTACTGTATATGTACTCAATACTTGGTAGGGGCTCCTTTTGCTTTAATTTGCAAATATCTAATCAGCCAATCACATGACAGTAACTGCATGCATTCAGGCATGTACACATGGTTCAGTTGATCAGCTGAAGTTCAAACTGAGCATCAGAATGGGGAAAAAAGCTTTTAAGATTTAAGAGACTCTAAATGTGGCACGGTTGTTGGTGCCAGACGGGTGCGTCTAAGTATTTCAGAAACTGCTGATCTACTGGGATTTTCATATGCAACCATCTCTAGGCTTTACAGAGAATGGCCCGAAAAAGAGAAAATATCCAGTGAGCAGCAGTTCTGTGGAAAAACAACAACAACAAAACAAAACAAAAAAAAAAACTTTGTTGATGCCAGAGGTCAGAGGAGAACTGCCAGAATGGTTTGAGCTGATAGAAAAGCAACAGTAACTCAAATAACCACGCGTTACAACCAAGGTTTGCAGAAGAGCATCTCTGAATGCACACCACGTCGAATCTTGAAGCAGATGGGCTACAGCAGCAGAAGACCACACCAGGTGCCACTCCTGTCAGCTAAGAACAGGAAACCGAACCTACAATTTGCACGACCTCACCAAAACCGGAAAATAGAAGACTGAAAAAAGGTTGCCTGGTCTGACAAGTTTCGATTTCTGTTGTGAAATCCAGATGGTAGGGTCAGAATTTGGCATAAACAACATGAAAGCATGGACACATCCTGCCTTGTATCAACACCCTTCAAAAAGAAGTATACTTCAAGTTTATTTTATTAAGTATACTTAAGTAAAGTTCACGTATATTTTTAAGTATACTTTATGTAGTAAGTATACAAATATTGGTGTACTAGTAGTATAGACTCTTAAAAATAAAGGTGCTTCACGATGCCATAGAAGAACCATTTTTGGTTCCACAAAGAACCATTCAGTCAAAGGTTCTTTAAAGAACCATCTCTTTCTTACCTTTTTATAATCTGAAGAACCTTCTTTCGCCACAAAGAACCTTTTGTGAAACAGAAAGGTTCTTCAGATATTAAAGGTTCTTTATGGAACCATTAAGACAAAAAGGTTCTTCTATGTCGTGAAGCCCCTTTATTTTTAAGAGTGTACTTGTAAGTGTACTATTTCAATATTCCTTCAGACTAAATTGGTCCACTTTCTAGTATATAAAAGTATACTTTTAAGTATACTTTAAGTATAACAGTAGTAAACTGTGAGTACACAACTAGTTTACATCTATGTTTTTAGTTTGTACAGCGTCATGAATTCTTTTTTTATAAACACTTGAATGTGGGTAGATTTCATAGATTAAAAATGAAAGAAAGAAAGAAACAACATTTTGAACAAAAAGCTGAAAAAAGAATATGAATTGGATTTAGAGTGATAATCAAAACGTAGATGGAGTCGATCTACACCCCAAAGCTTGACAGTCATTACCTCTTCATGGGTCGATATTTTATTCCATAACGTTACACAGTTTTGATGCGGTTTTATTTCTGATGATCAAGTTAGATTACATGTGGAAGCAGCTGTTGTTTCGGTTTCTTCTTCGCTTGTGTTTTGGAAATTATGTACAGAAGGTGTGCAATAGCGCCCCCTACAGTATAACAATGAAAACATGGATTCCCGAAGCACAAGAATAGCTCAAATATATTTAGACTTTTTCTAAGTATAAGTCAAGTATACTTAAATGTCATTTTAAGTGTATTTCTGAGAAGTGCATAAAATGTAGACTGAAAGTATACTTGCTTTTATTTTTAGTTTAAAAGAAGTATATTAATAGCACACTTGAATAAACCTCTTTTTCGTAAGGGCAGTTCAGGCTGCTGGTGATGTGATGGTGCGGAGAGTATTTTCTTGGCACACTTTGTGACATTGCCATCACAAGATTTCTTGGCTCAAAGCACAAAATCGTCTCAAACTGACATTTGAATGACATTGAATTCACAGTACAGTCCCCCACAGTCACCAAATCTCAATCCAATGGAGCAACTCTGGGATGTGTTGGAATGGGAGATTTGCATCTTGGATGTGCTTCTGACAAATCTGCAGCAACTGTGTGATGCTCTCATGTCAATATGGACCAAAATCCCTGAGGAATGTTTGTAACGGTGGTGGCCCACCAAAATTAAATTGCAGGATTTAAGGTAAGTAATTAAATTGTTCGGGCGCCAGACAAGGCAAAGAATCCCAAAATATTTGCCAAGTCAAAAGAGTTTTTTTTTTTTATTCTATCAATTCCCGGTAAAGCTAAAAAAAACCCACCGATACATAAATTGCCACCTGCACACTAACACACAAGAAAAATACAAATCGATTAAATAACACCCTTCCCAAAACCGTTTCTTTTTAAGTCAGCCGACTATTATTTAATTATATGCACCAAAAAAAACATCAGAAGAAAATGAATGGAAGGAAACACAAATCTTACAAAGTTTTCTTCTTTTTCACTGCATTTGTATAATAAAAAAACAAAGCATTAATTCATTGAGAAAGAGGCTTTCCACATGCTTTTCCACTTGTTCAATTAAATCTAGACAAGATCAACAAGTACATTGAGAATAAAACGGCAGAGTCCTCTGTTCACAAAAACACACAAAAAATGAATCAGTTTTCCTTTAAATTCACTCTTGGGAATTCACTCTTAAAGTTCAAAGTTTCAGTTCTTCACACCCAACAACAACGACAACCAAAAACAAAAAGAGGAAATAATTCCCCTAGCCTTAATCCCGTTAGGTGTGTGCGTTGTTTGTGTGGGCGAGTCTTCGTGCACAGGCAGCGTCTGAGCGGCCAATCAATAGCCTATACAAGGCAGGGAAAGGAGTGTTGGAGCTTCGGCGGGTTTTTCCCAGAGGAAAAGAAACTGAAATACCTGTGGCAGGCGAACCAGTCTGGAATGACATTGCAACCGGTGACCAATGCACAACCAATTTTCTCTGAGGTTTTGGCGTTCACACCCGGTCTGCACAAGCAAATAATCCGACACACTTAGCCACACTTGCCTGCATGTACCGTTCTCGTCACATCTGTTCCCTTCCGCTCACTCCCAGACTTCCGTTTTGCCTCTCTTTTATATCATTTCCCCCATTACCTCCTAATTTGCAGGCAGGGTGCAAAAGCTGATATGGATCCATATCCATATTGCCACATGTTTCCAGCACCTTGTTGAATCTGTGCCATAAAGAATTAAGGCAGTTTTGAAGGCGAAAAGGGGGTCAGTACACCTTACCAGTACCGGGATGGACCCCATTTTCGCCTTCAGAACTGCCTTAATCCTTTATGGCACGGATTCAACGAAATGCTGGAAACATTCCTCAGGGATTTTGGTCCATATATATATATATATATATACACACACACACACACACACACACACACACACACACACACACACACACACACACACATCAAATGTCATGCGGTGCGACTTCCCAAAAACTTGAAATACATAAATACACAGATCCTGTATATATTCGCAACAAATAATAAACAACAAAAATCATTAATATTATGTTTTTGGGCAGACATTTTACAAGATGATCTGAGCCTGTGTTGTCATAAATTAAAATTACCTGATAGTTTAAGAGACTTACTGACTTTGACACACATGTATGACGGTCTTCAGGAGTCCTATCTATCATGTCATTTTTTTAAAGAAATAATACAATATTACACTAAACTACTTAAAAAGGTTTTCTTCTCAATTGCATTGTTTTAATGAGGCTTTTTCTTCATTATAATATCAGGACAGCTGTACCACACTGACATTTTGTACTTTATGCCTGAAAAATAGCAAAATTAACTCAGAAATTATAAGCATGTTCATCGTAGAACATCATAGGTGTCTTCCAATAATTACATTAATAAAGTGCATTTTAATATAGTTTTGTATAAATGAATCAATTCAGGAGAAAAAAATTAGCATGTTTGTCACTAACCCAACTGGCTGTTTTATAAAAGCTCTTCAGGCATTGCATTTGCACTTTCTCACTGCAGAAAGTCTTGAGCATTGTTGTCTGAGCAGCTGTCTTCTTTCACTTGGTACTTCACAGCAGCGACTACAGCCTCTCAAGGCATTAAAACGTGCAATAAGTCACAGTAATGGGTTTCTAATGTTGTGCTGCGCCTGCTCTGTTGGCTAGCTCGCCACATAGCGAAAAACGCCGAAGGCTACTTCTGTTGGCAGTTATGCGGTGAAGTTATCAGCTGTAATCTGAGCTTTAAGGAAGACTTCTGCAGTCTTCAGGCTGAGGGCCTTGACATCTTAGCACACGGCACCCTGGTGGTTGTACATCTACACAGCAGGCCTGCATCCATCTGAAAGGCTCGAGAGCAGCTTTTTCAAACTCGCAGGAGTAGGTGATACATCATTCGTGGAAACGGCAAAAAGAAACAGCAGAGGTCTGGAAACGGCTGTTATAAATTTATGGATTTAAAGATGGATGAATCTCTGAACAGCAGGTACTGCAGCCCCTTTGAGTTGGACACTAATGTTCCCAAAAATGATAAAAGAGCACAGTAACATTTACTCACAGCGATATCCAAAAAAGACTACCGTGATGCATTTTGGAAAGTCGCTCTTGCGTACCTGTGCAAAACAAGCATATTTGTGTGGGTACAAACACAATGGACAACAGGAAAGTGGTTCACTGAGTGGTACTTCCCACACAAATAGTGTCATGCAGATTATCGACCCATGATTCCAACTATAAATGCAGCCTGAAGCAATTAAGTCAGCATGACTTGACCTCTGCATTATTCTGGATACAATAGTTACATGGAAGAGGGCGTGACAAAAGTAGCGAGACATCCAATCAGAAGGGCAACCGGAAAAGGTGATTATCATACACCATGTTCCTTGAGGCCCAAAAGGAAACCTGTTTATGAGCACCTAATTTCACCGGTATCTGCGGAATAATTTTCATCGATGCACACTCATGCTGACATGATTGGATTAGCCAGTACATTTAATGAGATGTCATTTCTATTGACGGCCATTGAGCAGTGATGACTGTCTGTCTTTTCAGAACGCATTAGCCTATTAACCTGCATTCACAGCAGATTGTAAGGTTAAACAATTGTGTCAGGCGTTGTCTACCTACTGACTGAAGATCATCGTCACATTTATTTACAGACTAAATGTGTTCAGTAAATGGTATGGTGAGCACTCACACAGAGAGCTCATCGTGACTTACTGATGGGTTGCAGGTGTTTCCATACTTTTTTCTGTTATGTACCCAATCCTCCTCACTTAAATAACAGCTAAAACAGCTTTTTTTCTGCATTGTGGTGGGAAAAAAACGAAATCAAATTCATTAAGTCTCTTAAAATATCAGAGAATTAGATTTTTATGACTAGAAGGTTAGTTTTACAGTAATCGTAACATTTAATTTGATGCAGCTCCCCAAATCTTAAATCATATTTATGAATGTTTTTAAAAAGTCGTCAAATGGAAACATTTCTGACCATTTTTATACCATATAAAATCAACATAAATAAAAAGTGCACATCATTTCTAAGAACTATGCACATGTTTTAATCCTGTAAAGCCTGAAATACAGTTATAGCCCATAGTTGGATAGATAGATAAGATTATAGATAGATACATTTCTGCCATATGTACATAAACTGACAGTCACCACTGATAAAGCTACCACTAAATATTGTAGAAACTTAATTTGCTGTAAAGTTGCTTTGCGGTGTTGCGGTGTTGCAACAATATATAGTGATATTCTCAATGTTACTCAGAAGACAGGATACAGGTTTAACTCATTTGAAATACTAATGCTTAATGTTACACTGTCAAAACTTGAATTATGATCAGAGCTCTGTAGCAGAACATATAATGCAATGCAATATAATGATGATTGACAGATGTACACATAAATGTTTCTCAAAGGTCTGATGTATCATATTTGATACTCACATTTTAACGCTTTTTGTAAAAAATAAATAAATAAATACATTTGTATATTTATTTATCAGCAAAGATTTCACAGCAAAAAGACTCATGAAAGTTCCCTGCTAAAAAAGTTTTTAAAAAATCAATCAGATGACATAAGATTGTAGAAGGTTGTGTACAACATGTTACATGTTTATGAGCAAAGTTGGTCATGTTTATGATTTAGAGCCTCAGAAATTATTTCAAATATGACACAGTAGGCTCTTTTTAATTTTCCTTTTCTTTATTGTGGACTCTTACTTTTCATTAACCCATAAATCACATTCAGCCCCTACTCAAACAAAACTCTAAGGGGCAGTTTCCTGGGTTATCCACAATCCCTGCCGGTACGAACCGCAACCCGCAACCTTTGGGTTATGAGTCCGACTCTCTAACCATTAGGCCACGAATATAAATAAACATATTTATTGTTGAGCTTTGCAAAATATGAAGTCAAGAAAACAGCACAAATTAGATAGTCAAAAAAAAAGAGCTGAAGCATTGAACATTTCCATTTCCACCATTAGGACAATAATTAAGGAGTTCCAGTCAACAGGAAATGTTACAAATAGTATATTGTCTGTGTGCAACGTGAGGAGGAGAGTTTGAGTGGCAAAAGACTCTTCAAGGATCACAGCTGTATAATTGCAGAAAATAGTTGAGTCAAAAAATTTAAAAATAAATAAATAATAATAATCAAATAGTACCTACATCACCACAAGTTTTTTGGGAGGGTTTAAAAAAAAATCCTCTGCTCTCATCCTAAAACAAACTAAGACACGACTGGAACTTCTAACGAGACTGCCTTCTATGGTCAGATGAAACAAAAAAATAGCTTTGTTTAAAGGAAACACTCAAGGTGGATTTGATACACACAGTGAAATAAATTACTCCATGCCCACGGTTAAATATACTGCTGGATATTCAATGTTGTGGGCCTTCTTTTCTGCTGGACATCTTGTTCATATCATGGATTCTATCAAACAGCAACAGTGCCGTGGTTGGATTTTCCAACACATCAGTGATTCAAAAGAACCATCAAAATCAACACAAAAATGGGTCACTGAGCACAAAACCAAGTGTCTGCCATGGCTGTCCCAGTTCCCTATGAGTGGGGTGACCTGAAGAGGAGAAACACCATCATGGAGCTTGGAACCTGAAGGATCTGGAGTGATTCTAGATTAAGGAATGGTCTCTGATCTCTTGTCAGCTGTTCTCCAAACTCATCAGGCATTATATGAGAAAACTCAGAGCTGTTAAATTGGCAAAAAGAGGTTGCAAAAAGTATTGAATAAAAGGGATCCATTAATTGTGGCCAATGTGTATTAGAGAAAAACATTTCTTTCATAATGAGATTTCCCGTCCCTTCCATTTTACTTCAATGAAAGGTTAGGGTTTTGTGATTTTTTTTTTAAATATCAAAATGATTAACAGTGCAGAATTATTTCCAAATGATTCTTTGTTCATATCTACCAATAATTTTCATATATAAAGACTGGAAACACAATGTTAATCTGAAACCTGCCTCCTGGTAGCTTTAATTTAAGCCTCAATATAGTCCTGAAGTAGCTCTAGTCTTCCTCCAGGAAATCAGCCTATTAAATTCTGGACTAGACTAAGTCTAAGACTATTTAAAATCATGACAGCGAAAGCAGATTTCTGTTAACATATAAGGACTTCAGAAGAAAAATATGTGAAGCTGTTCAAGCACCCCCTTGGTTACAAGTACTGGTTGAGAATCACTGATGTCACTTATGTGATTGATCTCCTAATGAAGCTCAAAAGAAAGAAGTTTACTTTTCCAATTAGCAGAGTAGGTTTTTGTGCAGTCATCTATAATGGAGGCAGCAGGTCTCAGAGCTGCAGTGGCATCGTTCAGACGCTGGGATTAATGAGTTGCTGTTGAATTAGGCTGCTGAGAAATTCTGTTCTCCAAAGAGCCAAGCGGCAAAGGAAATATCTTCACAGCTCACCAGGACATCCAACCCACGCTCTATTTACACACACACAGGGGTGAGACTGGTCAGACGCTGAGGGGTATGTATCAGCAATGTTGGCGCCCACCAAATATAGAAAATCTGGGACTGAAAAGCTCCCAAAAACTGTTTTTGCTGAAGACGTGACACAAAGGTTAATGCCAGGGTCAAAATTAAGAAAAAAATACCTTTCGAAAGACATCTTTTTATAGTCCGATGTACGTTGTACACTTACTACTTTAATTTGCAGAGTGGTTTTAAGTTTGGTTTAGAACTTAGCAGGCTGTTACAATTAGTAATATTTAGTATGCGTTCTTTCAAGGGAATGACTCGTTCTCGTTCACTTTCATACACCGACTCATTTTTCTTTCTATTTTGAAGCGTGTCACTTCTAGCATGAGTCTGTAGTATCCGAATGGGGGCTGTGAAGTAGCATTTAATTGGGTTTGACTTAATGAATGAATACGCCCAGCTTTGAGGAATCAGTTTATCACGCATTTCGCATTCGCAGTTCTGCTGCTGATTGACAACACTGCAAATGCTCTAGCAATAAGAATGTAAAAATATTGGTCATGCAAATAAAGCAATCATATTCATCATAATGGTCATCTTTATAGTTGTTGTCTTGGTGTTCTCTCTGTAAAGAAATATCTTTTTTAACGAGGAATCATGTCATAATCTTTTTAATTTGCACCCGATTGTGTGTAGCAGTGACTATAGCGTGAGCCAACAGAACTTTTTCAGGATTCTTTGATGAATAGAAAGCTCAAAGGTACAACATTTATTTGAAATAGACATTTATTAGTAAATGTATAATTTCATATCTATGTTTAAAAATATTAAATAAAATACATACTGTTTAAAATCAAACTTTTAGTTATTTGTAGGTTTAATGGGACATGCATTTAAAAAATGGATTTTGACAATCCACATTGAGGGGCTTATGTTACAAACTCCTTTTCACCTCTTCACACACATAATAAAATGGAAATAGACTTGTTTCCTCTTAATACAGCAACGGCCTCAGTGAATTCTCCATAAAAGCTTTCCTAAACATCAATGAATTCTCCTGTGAGTTACGCTGAATAATGTGAGCGATGGTTGGGGTGACTGGTTGGCTTGCTTTGCATTCCTAAATATATGTTTAAGAGTTTAAAGTATAACAAAAATTACACACTTGGTAACCTTTCGGTGAGTGTGTGACAGAAAGAGATAAAGTGGCGTCGGTGCACAATATAAATAATTTGATGAAACTATTCTTGCAGCAACGCTCCCGTGGCAAGCTGACTCATTGGCACAGCTGCGGGAAAAACACTTTCATCTTCTGTGTTTCATCTTCCTTGATTATCCATTCCTTCTTTTCCCGAAAAAAAAAAAAAAGCCTTGTGAATTCTCACCACCAAAGGTTTAATATTTATCCACACAATGTACAATAACAGTTAGATATAGTCAGTGGAAGATTTGTTTTTTATTCTCATATTTAAATATTTGCAGCTCTCTGAGCTCTTTTTTGGAGTTAAAGATGGAAGATGAATGTTATGTTTTAGAGCAGATGAACATGTTCTACATCTAAAATTAGCATCATGTATTTACAGCTCTTGAGATTTAATCACTTCGCTTCTGTATGTTAGAAAGATGACTGCCATATGGATATAGAGAAAATAATCAAATAAGTCTTCCTGAGAGCCTTCTGTCGTGAGATTTAGCTGACAAACAATTAGTAATAGGGTAAATTTTAGGGTAAAGCATTGAAAAATCACGTCAAACTGTTACAACTCCAGGCAAAGTCTCAAAGTTGCCACTAAACAGGACAGCTTTTACTAGAAAAACTTTTCAGGATGTCACTTTTTGAAAAAAGAAAGAAAAACTATTCTTCAGAAAATTTAAAGGGATAGTTCATCCAAAAATGAAAATTCTGTCATTAATTACTCACCCTCATATCGTTCCAAATCCGTAAGACCTTCATTCATTTTCGGAAAACAAATTAGGGTATTTTTGATTAAATCCGAGAGCTTTCTGACCCTGCATAGACAGCAATGCAACTGAAATGTTTAATAGCATAAGTGTTACCACCTTAATTATATGAGGCTATAAGAATATTTTTTATGCACAAAAAAAAACGACTTTATTCAATGATTTCTTCTCTTCCAGGTCCCTCTCCGCCACCATTCACGGCAGTACCATGACGCATGTTTGTGCATTCCTCTGCTTGTAAACAAGACGCGGTGCATCCGGGTTCTAGTTCAAATGCCGGCTCCT